TCAGGCAAAGATGTGGTTCAGTTTAGCAGTTCCTGTTGTTAAATGGATCTTGTTGCTAATGGTAGGTCTTTCCTTTTTTGGAGTGCTCAGCCTTTTTTTTAATCCTATGTTTTCAATGTAGGATGAAAAGTTGTGTTGAATAATCAGGGCTTGAATTCCCAGTGCTGTGTACTTAAAATTTTAGTATTTCTACTATTTTCCATATACCAATGGGGCAAACATTTTATCTGTTTTACGAAGGAGTTTTGTCTTGTTCAAGCATTCCAATTTCTAGATGGCATTAGACAAATCCCATTGATAGACCATTAAACAAAATACTCAGTTCAAATAGCTGTTACACATTTTACTTTTAAAAACTGAGTGGTAAGCAGTGCATGAAAAATGCACACTGATACGGTTTACCTTTCTATCTTAATTTTGTCCTATACAAATCTAAGTATTTTTTTATAAAGAAAACAAGCACTTGTAAAGTATGACCTGAATTTTATTTGGAAAAATAGGCTTCTTGTTTAAATATGTTTGTGGAGTTGTATAAAAAGCCACCCACCCTAACTTCTGCAGAATGTAATTGATATGCAATGTGAAGGTTGCCATGCCATTGCCTGTATCCTTCATTAAAACAAAAAAGTCAAAACAGCTCAGAAAATGGTAGCTTTCAGTATTGTTCACCGTGCTTTGCTGCCTAGTTCTTAATTCACTGTGTAAATCTGACTTTTCCTTTTGATGCTTATCCACATTCATATTCCATGATGGGTGCATGTTTGTATATGTAGAGATTTTTGGTTAGCAGTATGGTGTGCGTGTGTTCTTTGTCTCCGTGTGCTTCGTATTTGGGAACTTGTGTTTTTTCTTATTTAAAAAAAAAAAAAAAAGGAGGAAGAGTAAGCCCTTGTTTCCACTCGGCCGGTAGCCAGATTTAACTACTAAATTTATTCTCCTCCATGGTGGATACTAAGATTCAGTTTACTGCTTCAGTGAATCCTCACATACCAGGAATAGGTTCAGATGGGCCCTTAAGGAACAGAGAAGTGGGATTACAGGCTTACCTCCTGAAATAAATGTGTAGATACTGCCTCTGGATTCTAGAAATTGCCACTGAGATGCAAAGCGTCAGCCTGAACTCTGCTCTTAAGATTTTCACCAACTATATTGAAAAAAGGTATCACAGAATGAAAAGCAATGTATCACAGAGTGAAAAGTAAGGGGAGTTTGCAGAGCAGCTGGCCAGCTAAAAAATGTTTCAAAATGGTATCTCTGCTCCTGGACAGTTCTTCAATAGAGACGCTCAGGCTCTGCTGGCCGCTTACATTATTTGAAAATATGTGAGCTTCACTACCTCTATTGCTAAACTGCCTTTCAGATTCTTGGGGAAACTTTGCAATTGTAGAGTGAAGGAGTTGAAACTGCAGACGTTAGCTGGCAAATAGGCCTGGTTGCCAGCAGTGGACACTATTCTGTGCACCTGGGAAGAAGTAGTGCCGGTGATGACAAGCATTCTCTTACCAGCCTGGTCATCCCCACTCCACTCAGTTCTTGGGCGGTTGTGAGAGATTGAGAACGCCTTGCTACATTACCCTTTGGAGACTGCTTGGTCCTCTTTGGGCATTTGGATTTCCGTTACCCAACATGCCTATTTATCTTGATCTCCCTTTCATCTGGATACCTCTTTTGGTTCAGTTCGTTACCTGTTTTCCATTCTCCCTTCCGTGGTCTTTCAGCTGACCTGCTAATGATATCTTCTTACAATAGGAAGTTTCCTAGGAAATAGGAAATTATTCACTTTCCGCTCTGAAAAAGAATAGGTTTGGGGGACTTGGGGAAACCTGTTCCTCTCCAAACTAAAGTTGCTTTAATCCGTTCTGTGTAACGGAGAGATTAGTTCTTACTTCTTAACTTTCAAGATGTCACCTTTCCATCGTACTACCACGTGTGAGTTTTCTTAAATTGTAGTCAAAGCCATTAGCAATACAGGGTGCTGGTCATTTGAATTATTGACAGCTTTGAGGATTACAACCAAGGTCTTTGAGGTAGCTGACTAATTAAAACAGATGTGCTCTACAGAAAATATTCAGTGGTGAAATATTTAAAGGCCTGATCAAGATCATCAAGGCTGAGTAGGTTTTTAAACCTCAGAAGTCAAGCCTTTTTTCTTGGCATAATGAAGTTAATTGTGGCCTCTTTGGTCTCCACATTTGCCAGGGCATACTTCTCTTCCAGTAAGTTTCAGAGCCTGTTCGAGCTCACAGGTCAAAATTAATTGACACGCAACAATAAAAATATGCATTGTGCCGTGTGCCAGGCTGTATCTGACATGTGTGGGCTGTTGAAAGTTGGCCTAGTGAATAGGCAGGTATCACAGTGTATAAGGTTTAGGCTTCTGTCTTCCTTGAAATTCTGGAAGAGTTCAGTAAGTGTCTGTGAGGAAGACTCTTTTGACGTCCGCACAGTGGTGCTGATGATGAGCTTACTGGGGGAAGGTCACAGGTAACTGTGGGTTTCAGTGATAGATACGGTGTCCTGGAACTCAAAAGACTTGTCTTGAGAATTCATGTGTTCTTTCTCTAGCCTATTTCTGTGCTTAAAGATAATTATGGGCAATGCTGAAATCCTCTCCTCTGTCATTAAGAGGAGAAGATCAGGACTTTAAAGGCTTTAAAGATATGGAACTGGATTGTTTATTTCATATATATCTCGTCAGAATAGAAGACAGGCACTTAAAATAGAAATTATTTTTGCCTGTCCTAGAGAAACTTTAAAATAAATAAAAATGGTTAGTCTCAATCTGAGAAGATTGCCTAAGTGGAGTTCTGACTCTTTACCATTCTGATGAGGACCAGCTCTTTTATTCCTGAGACAGACATGGAGATAGTTGGAATCTCTGTCAGATACTTTGTAAGTCACAAGAACTTTTTTTTTTATCTATATAACATTTCAGATGGACTTATTTTTCCTCTCCTCTGTGTGGCTTAGTCTGTTTCCAGATCTTCTGCATTTGTTACCTTGAAGTTGCAAGGCCTAGTTGGTATGCCCGGACAGTCTGTCCTCAGACAAAAAGATAGCAACCGCTACTGTCTACCGCTCTATATTGCCTATCTTCTGCTGGAACATCCATTTTGTTTCTGTGCTTTAGCAAAGTTGGCATCTCTGTCATTTTAGATACAGCGCAGTGGACAGGAGGGCTTATTCATGTGGATAATAGATGATGCAGGTTTCTGTTGCCAAGTCGAGTTGATTTTTCTTTTGCCTCTGCAGTGTAAGATCCTTGCCTTCCTGCAAAACAATTGTTTTACCATGTTGGGCTGTCTTAAACTGAACTAGCATGCTTTTGTCCTTAAGCTATGTTCTTTATCTGCCATTTTGACTTCTCTTTCTCACTGTGGAGTACTGATATGCCGTGTTCTTGCTAACAAGAGGTCTGATTCTGCTGTGCACCATCAGTGTAGTCCTCATACCTTTTGGAGCCTGTGTCCCCTAGAATGCTTGTCAATGAAAAATGTCTTCCTGTGCCATCAACTCAGTTGGAGGGGAATGAGGAACGAAGCTCTTAGGAGAGATCCTCTGGACCTGCAATTTCCCTGGGAACTTATTCAAAGCTCTTGCTATGTACTTTGAAGACTATATTCACTGCAGTTTATTCAGATTCTAAAAGGCCTTATTTATTCAGGGCTAAATAGTCTCTCCATTCTGTGCATTCAGAAAAATGGCCACTTTCTGCCTTTAAACTCCCTGCTCCTCCCTTCCCCCCCCTCCCCCCCCCCCCCCCCCCACA